CCCCCTAACATCAGTATCCATATTCTCCGTACTGTTCTCTATGCATTCCCTATAGTACTGATAAGGAGAATTTGTATAAAATCAAGAGTTTCTTTAGTTGGCGATCATTTCTTTTATTCTCGTGACCTCAATGTTTGTTTTAGGGGGGATAATGATAGGGGAAAATAGTAACCAATCACTCTTGGGGGTTAAAGGGGTTAAAATCGCCCCTGTACAAAACGTGCAGTGCACGGGGGTGTGATGTTGTGTAAATATGTTTATACGTATTTTACTCCTGAGCAACTTGCGTTGGCTAACAGCGTAATGACTACGACTGGGAACGGCTCAAGGGGTCGTTTCTCGAAAGTTTCGATAACTTAACAGGCTCGTAAAGCTGTTTTGTTTTTCTTCAAGGTGGGAGTTTCAAAAGTTTTTAAAACTTCTGTAATAAAACTATCAGTTGAAGAAACAAAATAGATTCTTTAAAGTGTCGGAACCCGCATCTCTTAAAATTTTGATTTTAAATCATTTCTTCGGGCCGGTTAAGTTATTGGGACTTTCGAGAAACGGGATCAAGGTTCCTTTCCTCGCTAACTCTTTAAATGCAGTGGGAGGCAATATGGCGAAGTACTGTGGACGCTGGCTGCGTTCATGAACAAGCCCTTTGTATTGTGTTCAACTCTGAATCTGCCTTTCATAAACAACCAAATGGTCTGCCTCCTCCTCCATCCTGACTTCATTCAAGAGGTTATCTTCCGTCCCTACGTGGGCAACACTAGGCAGCTTTTTAGGTCAGGCTGTGCCATTTTTTATGGTCGTTGGAGGTGATTATAATCTTAACCTCATAGCTACTTATTATATGTAACACTTGTTGTTTCTCATCAGGATGCTTTGACTGACCTGACTGGGCAGCAAGAAGAACTTAGCATTGAAGGAACTGAAATTACTTGTTATGCGCATAAGGTATACAATCGCACTCTTTTCGAATGTTCATGCAAGATTTTGCTTTGGGAAGTCTCTGAACGCGTAGCTCTTGTGACTTACGTATTACAAAAAAAAAGAAGGGGAGTCAAGGAGGGGAAATCGAGATTCAGTCGTGTTATTGTGAGCTGTAGCTGATAGAGTAAAATAATTTGTAATTAATTCGACAGCCAGCGCATGCATTTTTTGCCAAAATAAGTTTATTAGCTCTTTAACTCCCAAGATCTGACTTTTTTTTCTCCCCTCTAGCTGTTACTCGTTTCCTGGTAAATTAGTTAAGAGAATTTGGCATTAGATCTAGATAACAACTGATACATGATAAGTTTGAGTATTCTTATTACTTTTTTGCTGGATGACGTATGGATGCTATAGGGAGAAGTTACATGTTAATCACTTTTGAGCGTTTAAGGGTTAAGGGGAATGGATATTAGAGAATAAGAAAACGGCGAGGTTTAACACCATTTATTTTTCTTCAAATGTTCAGAAAGGGGGCGAAAAGCTATTCGGGCGTTCGGAAAATTGCGCAGTTTTAGACCATAGCGCATTCTAACCAATAATACTCCAGAGGCTCGTTAAGCCGGTGACACACCTGGCGAGTTTATTCGCCGATTGCGGCGACCTTGATCGACCTATAAAAATCTTCGATATCTGGCATGTCGCGGGGATCAGCGAAAATCGCAATCGCCGCAATGGGCACACCTCGCCGATCGCCGCTATCCGCACATAAATTCGCAAGGTGTGTCGCCGGCTTCAAAAGCATGAAATTTTTATTTTATAGAATGGTCAAAGAAAGTTAACTAATGCTGATTTGCTTTATTTACTTTTTCATAGCATGAATCTTTCTCTTCGTGGTGTTATTTGCCCCTTAAGTTTTCTTGGTTTGTTTTGACACACTCTTCATTTTACTTCTCAGGGTATTTTGCTTTGTGCACGCTATGTCAAGTCAAAGCTAGAAAAGGAGGAACTACTTGAGCGTGCTTTCTCGAGAGCTGGCCAGGTAGTGTACATAAAGTAGGAGTGAACTCTTGTTAAAATGAAACGATTCTGCGCAATGTAGCTGTTCTGTGAGATTTAGTATTCTATAATTTCAGAATTTTAAACTGCTCTAGCTGACTTATCAAACGCCATCACCGTTTTTAGCGTAGGATTTAGAAGTCTTGAAATGCTCGCGAAAAGCTCTGTGTGTGATTGTAATTATCAATTGCACGCGTGTCATTTAGCTTATTTTACCTTGCCGCAAGAATGCTGCTGCTAATTTAAAGGGTTTGCATTCAGATTGATTTCAATATTTTGAGTAATATTCAAACTAGTGTCGAAAGTAATTAGGATTGTGCAGGTTTTGCCTACATCGCTCTGTGATTGGTCCAGTAAACTCGTGTCACTTCCCTCACCAATCAGATGCAAAACTTACACCAATCGCGACTTGGTCACCCGCGTTTTCCCGCGCTTCAGGCAGTTGGCTTATAATGACTTTGATTTCTCATTGGCTCCTTTAGAAATTTTCTTTGCTTCTATTGGCCGTTGTGATAACCTTTTTCGGTTTTCACAACACTCGATAGAAATGCACCTAAAGATAGAATTTCTTCTCATAGAATTATCGTCTCGTAATCGTTGGTCATTCTCTCGGGGCTGGAACTGCCTCGTTGTTGTCCGTTCTTCTCAAACCAACTTACCCAGAATTGATTTGTTTCGCTTACTCCAATCCCAGCGTGCTCAGGTACGTAATTCATCTTGTATTCTTGTTTGCGTTTGAATTTGAGTTAAAAGCAGTGAATGTGAGCTGGTTTTTAAAATGGCGTTATTCATAGATAATTGCACCCGTATTTAATTTTTGTTCATAGTGCTCCAGCCACTCCATTTTGTGAAGAATTTATCATTTCCGTTGTTCTCGGAAAGGACGTCGTTCCTAGGTAAGAGCCTGTTTTCCTTCAGAGCTAAATAAATTTTCAAAAGTTTTCTTGAAGTAAAGTGGTTTTGCTCAGTGGTAGAATTTTTGCCTTGTTTTTGTTACAAAATTTGCTCTTTTTTGCTCGCATGATAACGTCACCTTATGTGCCAATGCCGTAACTGAGCAAGATTTTCCCTGCTTTCGTCAAAATAAACGTACTCTCGCGTTTTCCATTTTACAATTTCTTCGCTCTCTCGCTTCCGTACCTCTACAGTTTGTATTTATCAGCTAAACTCTTCCCGCGCTTGCAAGTAATTAGATTTTTTTCCCTGCTTATTTCAGTCATTGGTAAGATTATTGATCTATGTTGCACATTTCTTACATATTTTCGATCGTTGTTAGTATTGGGGTTAGGGGAGGGGTAGGAACGCAATTGCCCAGATACTGACATTGTTCGCATATTTTCACTCAAGTTATGTTGGTTACGTAAATTTTTTCTGGTTGATGCTGCGAAAATATTAATTGACGAAAAGTTAGTATACTCACCTTCATCTACTTTTATCACGTAGAATGGGAGTTAAAAGCGGGGATGAGCTCCGTCAAGATCTAGTGGCTGTTATTTGTAAATGCTCCCTCCCTAAGGTATGCGGTAGAATAAGGCACGTTCGATATAATCAGTAGACGCGAGCCAGGAAAATGGGTCGTGTACATGAAGTTGAGTAACCTGGCAGTTGTAAACGGGGGCATTATGGTACACAGCCATTAACGTGACTCAAATGAACCAATCATATGTCCGGGTTGTCGTCTACTACTTCTGGTTACTTGAAACGGGACTTTTGTTTTTTCCAAGTTCCATCGCATTTGAAAAACATGTCTGGTAGGATTGGGAACTTATATAAAGATAGGAAGAGGCAAACGAAAGAAGATAAAACAAAATAGAAATCTTTAAGGTTTAATTTTTTTTACTAATTTTTCCCGGAAAGTTTTCCAGTAAGCCTCCAATTTATGTTTTTGGTTCAGTTTTCATGGTTCGGGCCCAGACATTTTTGATTATCCTTCTTGTACATCGTTTTTCATCTCATTTTATTTATTTATACCTCTTCGCAGTACCGTGTTCTTATGAACGGCTGTTGGCAGGCGCTGTGTTTCTTTCTGGGTCCCAGTCTCAGAGCTGGACAAGGTGAAGATCGGCATTTTTTTACTCGCACTCGCCAGTACAGATCAACTTCTAACCATCATTCGTGGGAATCTAACTTGACCCAACCTCTTCTAGAAGGCTTGCAAGGTATAATAACAGCTCAAGCTATTTCACCATTTTTGACCTATTTAATGCACTTTGCCTAGCATCTGCTAATAAGTCAAAAGTCTTTAAACAAAATGATTCAACTTCACGACTTCGTCACCCATTTTCCATCATCTCAATTGCCATTTAACCACCAAGGGTCTTAAATTTTTTCTTGATCAATTATCAGCCTTACTTATATCCAACCAGTAAATCTTTGCTCTTCGTTTGTTTACCAGACGATACTTTAGTTCTGACCCCCGGAGAGCCGTCCACTGGATACTTTACTGAAGGCGAACTGGAATCGGCCCCGACATCATCCTTGACACCAGTCTCCGCTGAACAGTTATTCCCAGCCGGAAAGATATTACAGATCGACGAGAGGCCGTCTGTCAGGTGAAAATTGCAATTTCCCAATTTGGCCGGGTTGTTTCTGTTTATTGTTTTGCAACCCCAGCTAAAAAGTGCACCTCCCCTCCCAACCTCATTGATATCCTTAGACTTGTCCGCAGGTAACCCGAGATTTTGATTTCCGTCATCTTTTCCTATCCACTGAAATCGGAGAAAAGACGCTTAGAAAGGGTTTTACTGGTTAAGTTTCCGGAAACAAATTTGCAGATAGGTCGATCTCGTCTTGTTGAGCCCCAACTTTATGAATCGAACGAGGGCTCCTAGTTGAGCTTTAGACTGAGTCTTGAACAAGCTATATAATATTATATATAAATCAGGAAATTTAATCGTTTTACTGGTTCTCTTTTTGAAAGGTTGGAAAGCCCGCAGTTTGACGTCATGTGGGCAGACAAAGAGAACTACGTCAAGCTTGTCATCCATCCCAGCATGCTGAGCGATCACATGCCTGATCGTGTTATGAAGGCACTAGGCGGGATATTGACACAAGATACCATCGTTCAAGAAGTTTAATGGAATGAGTGTTCATTACTACTTTTATGGGGAATTACTGACATCACAACTGTGTTTGGTGTTGTAGAAGATTAGCATAATTGCTGAATGTTCAAGTTTGTATCGCGGTGTGAAGTTAATATCAATTGAGGAGATACTATCAAGTCTTTGGGTTTTGTAATTTGTAAAGTTAGCTGGGATGAGAAACAAAGCGAGTTATCTTATGAATGTAAAAGGCAGAATGAGGATTCTCCTACTTGTGTCACTACCATATCTTACAAGAGGAGATGTAGGCTATGAGATGCCACTCCTTTTTTGTGAAGTCCGTCGCGCAATAAGACCTCTCTGAAAAGGAGGGACAGTTCTTGGTCTCATTGTAGCGTTTTTTTTTATTTATGAAAATAGACCTCTTCAGGAAAGCAAATGTATATTAAGAAAGAGAGACTTCGTCTCAATACAGGCTTTCTGCCGAGTAATATATATTTTATAAGGTAAAAATAATTTCTAGAGTGGAACGGCCTCGCAAATTATATGTCAAAAACAAGAAAGCTTACTTCTTTAACAAGAAGTGACGATATTTGACCCAGTCGTAGTGAAATGAACTTTAGTCTTTCAATAGTATTAAGGTCCTGCGAATTTGAAGAAAATGTATTACTATTATGGTGATCAATTTTGCGTCATTTAATGCAATGAGGAAACTGGGTTACAAAAACTGATAAGGGTGTCATTGTCACTTCAACCAATCACGAGCTAGGCTGCAACTCAACGCACGCGCGTTTCTCGCGCTTTTCATTCGAAGAACTGTTTCCCGCCCTGCCGTGTTCTACTCACGTTGATGTGACTTGAGTTTTTTACAGTGGGTTTTGATTGCGTTTTTTTTTTGTTAGTAAAAATAAACTGCTTGAATTTCATAGGTTACTATGAGTTGATAGTTGCCAGCTCAATGTGTTGTTATTATTAAATGACATTCATTCAATGTTTCCGTTGTCAATCAAAAAAGTTACATAATAAGACTCTCCCAAGCTTTTTTTTTCCGCTCGAACCGAGCGGAGAAAACACCTAATCCGCCTTAATATTGAAGTCGTTCCTAATTAAGGTCAGACGCCAGACTTTTCTTACTCATGATTTAAGATATTTGGTTCGGCTCATGAAGAGTTCAAATTTTAAACCTGGCCTTATTGGTTTGATGGATTAAACAGGAAATGTTGCCTACAACGTCACAGTCAAGTGAAAAATATCTAAGGAACTATATTTAGACTAGGGTTGAAAGCTCATCGAGGCTTCCGTGATTGTTTCCATCCCTTCTGAAGTGTTTGCTCTTGTGATGTGTTTTTCCCTCTGATGCTTTCAGGAATTGTGTCAAGTTTGGCACTTTTGAAATCCACAGTAATCAACTTCGCTGCCCCAATTAAGTCTATCGAGACAAAATTTATAACCCTCATGGCCGCGGGCCGTTCTTTGCGCTCATAAATCTAACCGTCATGACTGTTCTTTGGTGAAATTGTGTTCAATTTTGTGGGTGATTAATAGAATTTTCCTCGAGGATTCAAACTGTCGAGAGAAAATTAATGACTGTAAGAAATTTGTCGGAAGTGTAGCCAATATTTAATGAGGGAATTTCTTGCGGATAGTGTTCAAGAACTCGAGCACATTGGCAAATTGTCTTTCATAAAACCAGAGATTCTGGTGAATGATTAACCCCGGGAAAGCAACAGTTTTTGCAGGAACTTATTCCCGTTGCTTTCCTTATATCGTTTGTCTGTTTTCACGTTGATTTTTTGATTATGGACTCTAAATTAAGAGAAGTACTCCTTTAAAAGTGCGTCAATTTCCTGCGACTATTCCAGAAATTAAATGAAAAAAAGGTTGTTTGAAAGAAAGATAAAAAAGAAATGAATTTAGTTGTTATAATTTTTGGTCCGGTTCAGGTTAATCCGTGAGCTGTATAGTTTAAAACTTTATGATGAGGAGTCTTTTGAAGCCTTGTGAAGCTTGCATGAAAACTAAGATCGAAGTCTGTCACTATATTCTTATCGGTTCCGTTTACGAACACTAACTGTAGAGTTATTGTGATGAAACAAAAAAAAAACGGTTTGTTATCGGCTTGTTTTGAAACGCTTGTCTTTTTTAATTTAATCCCGTGTATAAGCCGCCTCCTCAGAGACAGAACTGCCGAGAATTCCTACGGCATTTTATTGGCCCCGGGGTTCTTATCGGGATATATACCGTGGTAAATTAGCACACTTTATGCGGGACAGACTTACCTTTTATTCAAAAATATACTTTTCTTTCACCACAGTTTTTAAGTGGAGACCAAAGTTTAGCTAATGGTTCTTCAGTAATATTACTGTGACCTTTAGCTCTCGATTCTTATGCATACAAAGAAAGATGTTATTTAGGTTAGGTTTCTAAATATTAGTCCTTGTTTTTATGGAGATAAGATTCCATCTTTGTATTTCAGCTGCTCTTGATGCTAAAAAATGAAATATAAGAATCGAGTTCGTGTATTTGACTTTGTGTTCGATAAATTTTCTGCGCGAATGGTGAATTTCCTTCTTCTAACTAAGGAATCATTTTCCATAGAAAATTTCCTCAGACATTAAAATTCCTTTTTTGCGTGATGAACTAAGCCGAAATGGTCTCCTGCGACGATAATTTTTAGCAAGCTTGCAGGTGCAACGCGAAATTATTCTTAGTCTAATAGGAATTGAGTCGAAAGAAAAGTTCGGATATTATGCAACAAAGCTGTTCTAAATTTGTCACTACCCAGTACGAATAAAGTGTTGTTCAGTTTTTGTGTCTCAGAATTCATTCCAAGCTGGTTATTTGTCACTAGAGCCCCTTGGGTTTTAACAGTTACGCTTATTCGCTTGCTTTTTTTTCGTTGCTCAAAATGAGCTGGCAGACGGGATGAAGCTTGAGCTTGATAAAATCTTCGTTGAAAAGAAGAGATATTTAAAACCATTTTAACACCCGGCGCACAGAAATGAAAAGATGAATGATGATGAAATAAATATGAGATTCAGACCTAACACCTTTTCTTCAGCCAAACGCAATTATAAGTGTAGCAAGAGATTCCCACGAGTCTGATAAAAATTCAGTTTTAAACAAAATAAAAACAGCATTTCGCCAGCGAAAAACTAACATCTTACTCCAAGCTCTAGCTCAATAATAAATTTTCACCATAGGGTGTATACATGTCAATTGTATGTCTTTGAAAGCGGTTCAAATAGTTATTTTCAAACTAAACGACAGTTAATTTTCTCGCGGCTTTGTTTACTTATCTAATGTCAATTTTTAATTTTTTTTTTTACGTCTCCGTCACCGTCGTCACTGACGTCACCCTGTGTTACCATAGTTACATGAACACCCCTGCAAACTTCAGGATTAATTGTTGGTAATGAAGTAGGTTAGGGGTTAAGCTGAATTTTAGCAGGATTGTTTTATTTTTCCATTTCATCCTTACTCGTTCGATTGAATAGGAATTCAGTTTTCCGAGTGGGTTATAATCGCTGATTATCGTTGTGATTTTCAACTAGATTATGAAGCAAAAAAAAAAGAGATTCTGTAGTCAGTACAATATCTACTAAGACTGTATAGAAACGAAGGGGCGAGTTTTCTTTGCGCGCTAGACTAGCAATTAACAGTTGTGATAAAAGGCGTTTGTAATAAAAAACAGAATATTTTCAATCAAAAAGTGGAAAAGACGGAGAAAATAATGATCTTCGAAAAAAATATTCAAAATACGTGACAAGAATTCGTAAATTTTGCATGACCACGAGATCAAATTCAACATTTGCGACGAAATGAAAGCATTTGAAGTCGCGCTTGCCTTTTGTTCTGACTAACTTTCCACATTAAGCACTAATATAAAATGTCTCTCTTTCGTCCTGGTTCGGATTATTTGAGAGACGTTATTTTTTTTTTAAGATTTCTGACACAGTTGATATCGTTAGTTTCGGAAAACACTGTGGTTTGTATTTCCCTTTTTCGACTGTGTAAACACAGGGGATCGAAGGTTAAACTGGAGAACAAGTGCCACCGGTTTCTAGGCAAAATGCATCACTTATTCCCGCACTTTGGAAGAAACGGTTGTTAGTAAAGTCAAGCTTTCGGAAAATTTTGTTTACGTTTCTTGGTGGCATGAAAGAAAAAAATTGAATTGAGAATCGAGGTGTCGTACGCACGGAATCACAATAGAAGTATCCAATGGGATCAGTAGATTTTGACGGTTAACACATATATCAGGCTAGATAGCCGGCTCATTTTATGCAAATTCATTAAATCTATATTGTTTTCCTTTTATTACAAATGCTGAAACGTCAATATGTCAGTATGACAGCTGGTGCTGTAGATTGTGTTTTATGCTGTTAGGGACGGGAAACACTCAGATCTTCGCCATAATATATGTCAGTACATTTCACCATCTCACATAGGCGGGAAAATGAAGTGGTTTTCTAACAGAATCTACAGTTTCTAAAATCAGACTGACATGGTTAAACCTCTGTTCTCAAAGCGGACGATGGATGGGCTGCTTTTGTTAACGGTAAGTTCAATTTGAGTCAATTCGTACTAACCTGAACATGGAGTACCTTAAATGTACACTTAATCCTTAAAAAAAGGTCTTCTCGCGTTATGCTTGCCTCCAAATCTAAAAATTTTCTACTTTTTTTCCTTTAATTTTACAATTAGCTTGCCCTTCTGCAACTTGAAACGAAACAAGTTATGGCCGGTAAGTTATATCGTTATTAATTTTTACCTAGCTAGCGTTAGAAATTGTCACTACCAGCCCATTTTATCTTCACGTTCATTACGCTGAATTCTCTAATTTTGTCGCGTCATGATTATTCGATTCTTCCTCAATTATAATTCTGAGCTGGTCTAACCCTGCGAAATATTAACTCTAAAACCATCCGGTTATATCAGATGCAGCATAGTGGAAATTTTCAATCTTTGGTTCAGTTTGTTGACACAGCCGGCCTACGAGCGGATGGTTTCTTCTTCCAAAAAAAAGTACGACACTTCATGTCTTCATTGCAAAATTGGTACCACACGCAAATAAACTCTTTATTTCGCAACCACAAGGACTCTATTAAACCACAGAATTTCCTGAAGTTGGATAGGTTCTCAGGAAAATCTTCATTTGAGAATTTCGCGCCACGAGTATTCAGTATTTATGAATTTCTCAGGTACAGGCGACAACTTTTCATTTCCTCCGGTAAATGGAATTTTTTTTAAAAGCTTTAATCCATCATTAGCGAGTGGGACTCACTTCTCTTTTACTCAAGGATTAATCTATACTAACCAGAATTCAAACTGCTTTCCTTAACAGTGTCTAACTTTAATTACAAGACTGAACAATACTGAACGTTACCATCGGCCGATTTACAACCAATTCCTAGAAGTAGCCGTTGCTTTAAATTTTCAGCATTGTAACCTACATTCGCCTCTTTGTTCACCTGAAGCATCGCCGTTGTATGTTTTATGTCGCGTAATGGGTTTTGGAGCGAATTTCGGTGAATTTCTTCGAACTGGGCAAATTTCAAAACAAACGCCACCAGTGGTAGAATTACGCATTGTCTCACAGTTAGAGCGTTTCTGCCAACCTTGTTTTGGCCGTCGGAGAGAGGCGCCTATTCATTCCTTCATTCATTCATCAACGCTTCAACTAAAAATTATATTATCTTTTTCTTTTATTCGTCTTATTCTTAGATCTCTTTGTATCTCTGTCATGTACTCCCACTTGACGCCTTTTTGCGTAAACTAATTGCCACAACTGGCTCAACAGTGCATAGACTGTTAAGAATTAATGCTCAAAGTTCTGTTAGTCGCATGAAAAATCCTGATCGCTGCTTCCAAAGGGCATACGGGAAAGAGATCGTTATTTTTAATATAAATCTTTTAATGTAAAGGTGGACGACAGCTTGGCAGAAAAGCTTGGATTACCAATAACGTGACATGACCAAGAAATTAGTTTTCAATATGTTAATTTGCATTCAGAATATGTTTTCGTCTTTCTTTAGCGATCCAACTGTGTCTTGTTTCTCTTTTAAGGATATTAAAGTCTAAAAAAAAATTGATCTGTTTTATCACAACCTATCATTTCAAAAAAACGCATGGCAGATTGTCCAGTGATTTAACAATACGAATTGAGGGGAAGCGGAAAACGTTATCTAAAGATTTGCCGAGGGTAGTGAGTCAGGAATAACAAGATTGTAACAAATTTTAAAAGCATCTTTCGAAGTCAGTATCTTTGACCGAACCAAAGATGGAAGAAAAGGTGTTCATTTTCTCAGATCTTCTGCCGACATCAGTGTTTGCGCCAAACGCGTATTTATTCAAGTGGACTGACGTAATACCTGTCATTTTTCTGTCAGGTCCTAGTCATTTTAACGTTTATTAAGGGTTTCACGACACGTATTTTGAATGAGCTCATCAGACCAAAATAAATATGGATCTATTATCCAAACCCTGGCCTCGACTAAAGCGAATCTTATGCTTGAATTTTGTTTGTTTTTTAATGGTTTGGTACTGTTTCCTAACACTAGCAACGATGACAAAAAGATTAGTTTGATAACTGGTGCCATGTAGACATCACCTCAGGGTCTGCTTTAAAAAAAAAAAAAAAGACAAGAAAAGAAAGAAAGAAGAAAAGCTGCCTAGCAGCTGATTTTTGAGAAAGATCTTTCCCGAAATGAGAACCAATTTTTATGTCATCCAGCCATTTCCGTTGAAAATTTCGATTTTAATTTGCATGTATCTGTGAAGGATCAAAGAGGTTTTGTTTAACAGTAACAAATATTGAAATCTTGCTCAGCCAACAACTTTGCGGGAAGTTTTTTGAAATTTAGAAATGCCTTCTAAACCCTGTGAAGGCAGCTTGATGGAAACATCTCAAAAGTAGCAAGACCTACGGAACAAAACTACTTATTTGTAATTATAACCAAAAGAAACCAGTGTAAACATCGTTTGTATAGCTGATATCTAAATCGCTTTTTGTTTTTGCGGGCAAATCATTTAATTGCTCTCTTCGCTAAGAAAGTTTTGATAATGTAGAATAAACCGGAATGAAATCTACTGCGACAAACCACCCTCAGGGTACAACTCAGGTCTTCCGTCTGATCGTCACCACCATAAAAACCTGAGTCCGAACTTTAGTCAGAATCGAAAAAAAAATTTATCACACGTTTAATGTTAACAACGGATGTCATATCTTCTGACATGAAAGTTTGAAAACTTTAGCTGAAGGCATTTATATCGATTATACTGGATTACACACATAGTTCCTCGCAGGGGTAGGTAAGTCGTCAAAAACAGGATCATGTATAATTGTTGTTAAGAGTCACAAGGCAAAGTGTTTGGTTATTAAATCAACCCCTTTGTTTATTAAAATTGCATTTTAAACCCCAGCAAAACATCTATGGGTTAATCAACCGCTCAATACGCTTGGAAACTTGTAACTGGCACACCTTTCTCAAGTCGAAATTAATTCATCAGCATAATTTTTATCATGATAATTACCAATATCCGCAGGATATGTTATTGTCCTTAACCAATTTCCAGAATATTTCTGAAGGTCTCTTCGACATCACTTCCTGAGAAAACGATGTCAGCGGGCAGGTGTTTTTCAAAAAAAAATTTTACAATCTAGAGTTATCGCACTAAATGCCTTATAAGCCAAGATGTGTAAATGAATTATACATACGTACCCCTTATAGCTTCTCGTTAAGGTCGCGTGCACGGAGTAAAAACTTAATCAAGAGACGTAATTTTCTTTTTCTTTTTCCTTTCAAAGGAGAGAGGCAAAAAGCAAAAACAAATCTCTGGCATAACGAAATTGCAGTCTTCTCTATACATATTGAATTTCGATCTTACAAAATTTACCTGCAAAAAAGATTATCTTTTGTTTGAAATTTGAAACAAGTTTAGTTCTTCCTGTTTTAAATATCGCGATTTAAAAAAAAATTGTTCGCAGTTTACTTGCCTTGTAAATTTGGCAAAAAAATCACGTCACATTGCTTTCATCAATTTATTATTTTCCCTTTACACTGCATTAGTCCAAAAACAGGTTTTAAGCGGTTTATTTTTGTGAGAAAGCTTTAATCTTTGTCTGAGCTTCTAAACGATGTTTTTGTTTGAGCCTATCTGATCTTATGTATCCACGTGTATTCCAAGTTGTGGATAATGTAGAGCGTTTTTTTTATGGATTATATTTTGAGTATGGGTAATCACTTGATTTCGAGTGAAATTTGGAATAAATAAGTACGAATATATTTTTTCAAGGACTAAAAAAAAAAAAGCAATTGGAAGCTACTATTGGCTGAAATTGGCTGAAAGCAATTTGAAGCTATTTAGGATGGGGCACAATTACAACTAAAATTCGTGATATCTGCCTGAAAAATAAAACCACCACCTGTTAGAAGACAAATAAGAGATGGAAAATATAACTAATAACGAAACTTTATTCATGACTCGAAAACAGCCTCCGTCAGAATGAATCCTCGTTGGTCGTAATAACAGTTTCAGCTGCTGCTTTGTCGATTCGAGTGTGATAAGTGTCTATAGACGAAGAAACACTGTTCCATAGCCCATTTCAACACCTGACAGCTCTCTTAGAACAGTGACATTTGACTGAATGTGCGAGAAAAGCGTTCGGTTCGGTTTTTGCATCGGCCTTGTCTTTTTTCGTGTGGCCTAAGGAACACGTGGCACCCTCTCAACCAATCAAATAAAAACACAACCCAACTAGGACCCAGGTGTTTTTCTGCGATTTAAACAGCTGATTGTCTTGAATTTGAGCTTTCACTGGCTTCTGTATTTCCCAGTTAACCCTTTTAACTCCCATAATCAGTAGTGATTAACATGTAACTTCTCCCCATAAAATCCATACATTATCCAGCAAACTCGTAATGAGAATAATCAAACTTATCAGATTGAAGCTATCTTTATCTAACACCAAATTCTTGTAACTAATGTACAAAGAAATGTTTGGCAGCTAGTGGAGAGAATTAACAATTAGATCTTGGGAGTGAAAGAGTTAATGATATCTTTTTCATCGTTTTAGGTTGGTACTTGGGATGTTACAAAGAAAATATTGCAAACCGCGCAATCAACATTTCGGCCGGAAACTACATCGTGTCGGACACTTCCGCTCAAGAGTGTACCTCCTCTTGCGCATTTTTAAAGCAGTCATATGCGGCCACTGAAGGGAACCTGTGTTTTTGTAGCAACGGTAATTATGACGTGTATGGCAAAGCCACTAATGACAGCCAGTGTGACGTCACATGTTCAGCCCAATCATGCGATAGTACGTCATACGTGCGAGTGTATTCAACCCAAGGCGCAATTGGTGAACTCAAACTTCACGGTCCAAAGGTTGGATGGATGTTTCGTGAAGTCAGTTTTTCGACCGTTCTTGGAAAAGGTAATGGAAAAGAACGAGCTCTCTCTCACTTTATCGCAGGTTTTCAATCTCACTGATTTCATTTAACATAGCTGTCGATACAGTCAAACCTGTATTAGGAAGTCACCCACGAGGAATGGCGGGGTGAGACCGCTTAATACAGCTTCTACAGAATAGGGGTATTTTAAAACCGATAAAAATCGCCACTTTACGCCTTAATGGACCACTTAGTATCCAAAAACTCGCTCAAAATATTGCTAAGATTTCGGGAGATAAAAATGGATTAATCTTTACTTGAAAGATTATTCCTAGTTTTATGAGTGGTTCGCTTTACGTGACCGTTTAAAACAGCTGGAGGACAATACAAACCGCTTTCTAGAGGTGACCGCTAAATAAAGGTAAAAATTACAGTTATTAAGTCGTCACAATTTCGGGACTTTGAAAACAGACCGCTTAATACGGTGCCGCTCTATACAGGTTCGAATGTAGTTACTTTTGCTGCTCCTTTTTGTAACTTTTGTTTAGGGTTGACACGAACTTCCCCTCTACTACCTGGGAAGAGATAGTGATCTGTGGCGAAATTAAATAACAGATGCAAAGAACATGATTTACAAATTTCTTGTGGGGTTGTATCACACTTAGTTACAGCGTTCTTTTCGAATACTGTAACATTACAAGCATACCGGATTCGATATAGTTTCTAAGTATACCCACTCGTGATCTTTCCTTCTCAAAAGTAACGTAGTCTATACACGTTCCTTGAAAGTTTCCAGGTTTTAGATTGAAAGTTTTTTTTGTACGTAATTTTAGGTGATCTCAACAATCTGTCCTACACTTTCGATTTTGGTGACGGCTCCTACGTGTTGACCACGTGTCCTAATGCCACACACGTGTACACGCGCGTGGGTGAGTTCCACGTGAAGGCGTCTGCGAGGTCAAACGAGTCAGGCCCGATACTGGCGTCCACGTGGGTGTTAATTCAAAATCCAACGGGTAAACTAACTTTAGACTACCCCAAAGAGATTCTTGAGGTGGGAAACGAGACTGAGATTGTCTTGAGTGTCAGCCAAGGCACGTGGATGACAGCTCTAGTGCATACAACACACCAGAAAGATGGGAGGAATAGAAAGTCATTTAACGTATCGGGTGAGTGAGAGGACGTGTTGTTTGTCGGGGGGGAGAGGTGAGGGGGCTAGAGTCAATTTACAAGGTATGAGGCCGCTAATGTCGCAGATTTTCGTTTCAGGAGCTTGAGGCGAATAGAAAAATTGCCAACCTCCCCCCTACCCCTACCCTTGTGGTTAGTATGTTAGGCCATCGCGCAGGGGGAGGGTGAGGGGGTTAATGTCAGCTTACAAGGTATGAGGCCGTTAATGGCGCAGATTTTCGTTTCAGGAGTTTGTGGAGAATAGGAAAATTGCCAACCTCCCCTTACCCCTACCCCTACCCCTACCCCTACCCCAACCCTTGTGGTTAGTATGTTAGGCCATCGCGCGAGGGGAGGGTAAGGGGGGCTTTCGTCAGTCTACAAGGTATGAGGCCAAACACCCCTACCCTTGTGGTTAGTATATTAGGCCATTGTGCAGTGATCCTTTAGACAGGGGCTCTTGGTTATTTCTTGTTTATTCATCATTGAATAGGATATTTTCTTTTACCTCAGACCCCATAATCCACGACATAGGTTCGTCTGCAACGTTTGGAAATTCCAGCAACTCCCCCGAAACGGACGGCGCATACGTAATCCCATCTGCTATGCTGAAGAAAGACGGTTTTGTACTAGCCTGGGAATTCTTCGCCTCTAAACTTGGATCCATTCAGTTACAGGTCAGTGGTTCTTACACTGCACAGTGTAATACATTCGAAAACCGCTGACCACTGAGATTAAAAATTCGCCACTTATTTTTCTTAGAATGGAGAATTTAAAATTGCCGTCTTATGGGCAAGGAAAACGCCAAAGAAGCAGTTATAAAACCAAAGAGAAATCAGAATGGTTCAAGATGGAAAAGATGAAAACGGATTGTAGACGTCAAATCTGAAAGAATTTGTCAATACTTTTCAGGATAAACCAGATGAGACTTTGCCCCTTTAGAGTGATAGGCGAAACGGCCTTGTCGCAAGCTAAGGGGAAGACGGGATAGGGAGGAATACTTAATAAAGCCCTCTCAGAGAGTATTATTTGCTTGCGTTTCGACTCCTGGGGGCATAACATGTTGAAATTTGTAGTCCTCGAAAGCGACTTGTGCGAGTTGCGCGACTTATCAGACTCTGAATACATTCCGTAGCTTTTAAACAATTATTTTTCTAATGTGACACTTGTTTTTAGGTTTACCGTCCCAACTGTTCCTCGCTCGACAGCTATTTCTGCCCGAGAAATTATTCCTGTATACCCAAGGCAGACTCCTGTGTCGACTCCAGTCTATTCAGTTGTCCTGGGAACAAGAGCATCTGCGTAGGAACTGGTCACTGTTTGTCTACTTGTCAAGGACCGAACAAATCATTTCTGGCCATTTCGTCTCCTGTGACCGACTACGTCGTCGTAGCAGGTAGACTTTTGAGTGTGTTACCTTGGGTGACTGAATTAAAGCGCTTGCTTCGAGCTTTGCGTGACAGTAAAAAATGGCGTAGGGATTCAGGATTGAGCGTGACGGGTTAAATAAATATTGGACATTACGTGAATAATATGAAAGAGGAGTTTTTTAATACCCTATTTATACCTTTTACCTATAGATTAAACAGTATTAAAGTGCAACGTCTTTCGTATAATACTGACCAACCAAGAGGACAAACAAAATCTGACGAGCGTTTTCGTTTGTTCTTTCTTTTTCTCAATTGCAGAAACTGTGGTGAACATCACAAAACTCGGCAACAATCTTTTCCCTCTTGCTTCCCAGAAAGCCATCGAAGTGAAAGCTGGTGACGTCATAGGATGGGTTGGAAACGGTTCTTCTGGGACGCTGGCCTTTGAGAAAACTATTAATGACCCATCGTTCTATTTTTCTAGTTCATCGTCCAGTTTTGCAGTAGGAAGCGATTTGACAAAAGGTAGCGCCACTCGGCACGAAATCAAACATGTTCTGCGGGCTCATGTTTCTCAGCCCTCACAAGCAGCGGTTGTTGTGGAATATACCCAAGCAGGAGTTTACAATGTGTCGGTTTCTGTGGGAAATGTGGCTGAAAGTGAACTGAGGAGTTGCAAAATTACCGTGCAGGTGCTGTGTTATATGTTAATGATTGACATGATTGCAGTGACTACTGATTTTAACTGAAGGGTCAAAACTCACAATAACCTCGGAAAAGGCTTAAGGCACTGAATTTTCAGCAAGGGTCTCACGCGCGGCATCAGGAGTTGGGGGAGTTTCTCTTTTATCGCACATGGGGCGTCACGCCACTAGTCGCGAGCGGAAGTCTGTCACCTAGGAATTTTGCGCCGTTAATTCTACGTCTTCTAAATCTCATTGGACGTTGAAATGTTGATAAAAGGTTTTAACAGATAGTTATGATGCTTTTCTAGGAGCGCATCGAAAGTCTCCGCATTGTAGAGCCCTTGACGAACATAAGTTATCCCAAAGGAGAACAAATTATTCTGACGAGCGCTGTGGACAAAGGAAGTGACATAAACTATACGTGGACCACAGACGGGGCAACGTACGACGTAAAAAACCCTAAAGTACTTTACAACAATACTGGTAAGGCTACAAATGCATTCGACTTCTTTACGGAGGCCAATTTACATTATCAACTCAGTTTATCAAACTAAATTACCTCGTAATTCCTCCCCCCCCTCCTCCCGCACCAACGCAGCACCACAGTTTCCTTTGAAACTTACCCCTTCATTCATTTACAGGAACCCACCCAGATGATTGACAATGTGACTTTTACAGTACAGACTCAGTCCTTTCTGCAATAATGGAGAATTTCTGTAAAATCTACTTTACCCAGTCACTGATTTTCATGCTATTTCTACTTTGCAGGTTTTTACCCAGTCTTGCTCTACGTCCACAATGCAATCAGTTCTGCACACGCTTCTTCAGTAGTTAGGATACTCGAACCAGCGTCAGTAGCTTGGAGGGAGAAACCGCCGACCAAGATTGACGTTGGCGCACAATTCAACTTTTCTGTGGTCCTGAATGGAACAAACGTCACTTTGACTGTAAAATTTGAAGACGGCTCTAATTATGAAAAGTTTTATACTTCTGCCCTGAATACTGTTGTGAACATTACGCACAAGTAAGTCCAAACTTGGAAGGTAACGTTGCAGGTAGTTTCTGTTAATCATCTAAAACTGAAGGAAGCCAGCTCGTTGTGAGTAAGGTGCTGGATGGACTCTTACGCGCGTTGTCGATACTGGAAGGATTGAAAATTGTTTTGAGCCATCACTGCCATTATTCAGTACTCAAAAATCCCGAAAAGCTTTTTCGTAGACTTTCTAAAATATGTTTTGTTTGAAAAGAAGGATTTTGACCAATCACGAGTAAGTGACTTGGATCCCATTCCAAGCGTCTGGCAGCAAAGTCTGATTTTTTGTCCCAAATGAGGTAAACTTGAGGAAAAGACTGGAATTTCGAAAAATTATGGAACGCAGGAAAAGGCAACCTTTGGAATAAGTCAAGCCGTAGTTTGCTGTGCAAATAGTGGCGGAAATTCTAATTTTTGAATCAGCGCACTAGCATGTCTGAAATGTAAGCCGTCTTCTCATGATCAGCACACGTAAAGGGAGGGAAACCCAACTGGAGAATTTCTCACGTAAAAGGGTTAGAAGGCCAAACTCACTTTTGTTTGCAGGAAAAATGTCAAACACTTGAGTTTAGACGGCTTGGAATTGATCTTCAAGCAATCTCGTGTACAAACTATGGGTTAAGATTCTTGTATTTATAATAAATTTACGTACATATTTGGTAATAAATCTTAGCAAGTGCAAAATAAAATAGACGCACAATATTTTTGTTGCGTGGATGATCTTGCCCTCTATCTGCAGACTTTTGCAGTTACTGACTACTACTTTTCATTGTTCCACTTTTTCTCCTTCAGTTATACCAGAGATCGAGAATACGAAATTTCAATCGAAGCCCGGAACAACATATCGTCTTCCGCAGCGCTTTTAAAGTTCTCACTGAAGGTTGTTGGAGACATCTCAATACGGCTGGACCCGCCAGCAAATGCCGACAAAGTTCTTCATGTTTCTACCGGACAACTTTTTGAAATTGAGGTCTCCGTATCAAATGAGCAAGAGGTGAACTACACATTTACATATGGCGAGTCGGCTTCTGAATCTGTTCGTACCGAGAAGGGTTACACAAAATGGTCCCACAAATACGACACCCCGACTGACTTTAACATCTCCATAAAAGCAAGTGGATATTCTCAGAGTAAATTTGTGCATGTCATAGCCAACTCCTGTGCACCAGCCATAAATTTTCTCAACAAGTATACAGAAAAAGATCCACAAATTGTTACCCGAGGCACTACCATCAACTTTTTAAAAGTTAATGTGGAAACGAAGAAGGAATGTCCGAAGGGTGAGCCTGTTTATTCATGGGACATTACTCCATCACAAGCCATTTCTGAGGCTGAAAAGAAGAAAGAATCTTTCGTGTTTGAAGCCAGAAGCCTAGACACTGGAGACTATACTATCACATTGAACGTAAGCTACAATGGTGAAAAATATCCGTTCAAAACATTCATTCGGGTGGTGAGCTCACCGCTTGTAGCATATCTATCCGGCGGCAGCTTTCGACAAGTAGATTCGAATTTAACTCAGCTGACATTGAATGCCTCTCAGTCTTTCGACCCGGATGATAAAGATATTAAGTTAAATTTCAAATGGCAGTGTAAAGTCGAGAATAACTCTTCACCAGCAGTTCCAGATGAACTTTGCAATTCAACAGAGTTCGTGGACATAATTGACCAAGAAAGTAACGAAACCATAAAATTACGTACAAACAAGTTTCGGACGAATGTGAAATACACTTTCCAGGTGAACGTAACCGAGAAAGCAAGTTCACGTTCATCCTCTGCACAACAAATAGTGATGCTGGAGCCCAATATCCCACAACTGGAAATAAGGTTAGTTGGTTCTTTCCAGTTGAATTCGATCCTAATATCTCTGCCTCAGCGAAATCAAGTTCGAATCCTTTCCGTGACGATTGAAGAAGCTTGCTGTTTTGTATAATAGCAAGTCATTTTCATGGTCAATATTAAACTTGGACTGGCGAAACATTTTGGGAAAATGAATTCAGAAGCATTGCAGAAATATTGTGATGTTGTACTGTTTTTCGCTATATTTGTAATTATTTAGTCGTGGAACTGAAATTCGAAATCGCTCACGACTTTTTTTGTGCCATTTGAAATCGCGCCTAAAATCCCGTTAATACTGGCGCTAAGATCGTACGAAAATCGCCCGCATGTAAGAGGGGGATTTAACCCTGTATTTCTCAGTCGCGATGATGAATCTGCTACCCAAGGAAATGAAAGCATTTTGAGACACCAAAGAGCTCGAGGGATTGATGGCGAATAGCGCGCACTTGTAACTCAAGAGAAATGACTGTGTATCATCTGGCGAGGTTCTAATAGAACATCGTATTAAGGGGGTAAGTTTCTAAAGAAACTATGGTGCTGCGTCGGTGGGAGAGTATAGCAGG